CAGCTGGTTTTCCATACTGAGAAACCAAACAGTCTTGGACCTAACAAATATCTAGTTTACTTTTAGTGTTCAATGCAGAGGTTTGAAACCATGGTAGTATTATCCTACAGTTAAACCCTAACTGAGCCGTACATCGAAAGAATTTATCAAATGTCGTCTTAACAATCCCATACCTGTCCTGGGTTGGGAGAGGTTTGAAACCAGGATAATATTATCCTATACCTGTCCTGGGTTGGGAGAGGTTTAAAAACATGATAATATTATCCTATACCTATCCTGGGTTGGGAGAGGTTTGAAACCAGGATAATATTATCTTATACCTGTCCTGGATTGGGAGAGGTTTGAAACCATGATAATTGTATCCTATACCTATCCTGGGTTGGGAGAGGTTTGAAACCATAATAATATTATCCTATACCTGTCCTGGGTTGGGAAAGGTTTAAAAACATGATAATATTATCCTATACCTGCCCTGGGTTGGGAGAGGTTTAAAAACATGATAATATTATCCTATACCTGTCCTGGGTTGGGAGAGGTTTGAAACCATGATAATATTATCCTATACCTGCCCTGGGTTGGGAGAGGTTTGAAACCATACTAATATTATCCTATACCTGTCTTGGGTTGGGAGAGGTTTAAAAAACATGATAATATTATCCTATAACTGTTCTGATTTGAGAGAGGTTTGAAACCAGGATAATATTATCCTATTTCAGTCCTGATTTGGCAGAGGTTTGAAACCAGGATAATATTATCCAATACCTGTCTTGGGTTGGGAGAGGTTTGAAACCATGATAATATATCAATTCTACAGGAGACCTGGAGTTTACTTCTGCAGTCTTCAATACTTGCTTCTCTAGGAGAAACCATCCAATCCTTAAACTCAATTGTAGAAAATAAAGTACTAAAATAATGACCAAAAAATGGAAAGATGGTTAAATATTTTAAACGACCGGCCTTAATCCTCAGTCAATTCAGCAAGTAAAATATAATCAAATCTGTGTACACTGTACAGTGAAAGTTTTAAACAGATTCCATGGATTTTTCAAATTCTTTTAAAAGTTGTTTTGTAAAATATAATAATGTCAATGAAACTGTTGAGATTATTTGATTAGGATTCCTGAAAATCTCTTTACAGAATGAGTTAACATACAGCAAGCTCATACTCTCCTGAAACATTTCATTATTTCTAAAGTTTATAAAACTATTGAAACAGAGTCAAATTTTGAAAAAAATATCTTGTTTCAAAACGAAAAAAACTAAAATTTAGTTTAGGGAGTAGGTTAGGAGGGTTTTATCTAGTTATCTCCGGTTCAAACCTTCAGTTTAGGGAGTAGGTTAGGATGGATAGATCTAGTTCTCTCTAGTTCTAACATTTGGTTTACGGAGTAGGTTAGGATGGATATATCTAGTTCTCTTCGGTTCAAACCTTTGGTTTAGGGAGTAGGTTAGGATGGATAGATCTAGTTCTCTCCGGTTCTAACCTTTGGTTTTGGAAGTAGGTTAGGATAGATATATATAGTTCTCTCCGGTCCTAACCTTTGGTTTACGGAGTAGGTTAGGATGAATATATATAGTTCTCTCCGGTCCTAACCTTTGGTTTACGGAGTAGGTTAGGATGGATATATATAGTTCTCTCCGGTTCTAACCTTTGGTTTGCGGAGAAGGTTCGGATGGATGGGTTTAGTTTTCTCAGGTTCTTTAATCAACTTCTCTCCAGTTATGGACTCTCTTAACATTTAAAAAACATTAAAATTTACTATTTCTAAAAGTATGTTTTTTTCTTCCTTTTTTGGTATCATTTCACTACATTTTTCATTGAAATAAATAAATTTGAATGTTTACTCAGGACACAATAGGCACTGATATGAATTAAAAGAAAAAGACGACATTAGTTTTCTGATTCGCAGTTAAACTGGATTTATTCTAACCTTATTTCTAATCCAAGGATGTAAATTTCTTTTCCAATTTTGAAAAATGCTGGAGATATATCTTTGATAGCCTGGAAAAATTCAGATCATTAAAATGATTGAATTTAGTTTTCTATATGTCTATCTGTCTAGGCTATCAGTCTATCTGTCTAGGCTATCAGTCTATCTGTCTATTTGTCTATCTGTCTATCAGTCTATCTGTCTATCTTTCTATCTGTCTATCTGTCTATATGTCTATCTGTCTAGGCTATCTGCTATCCGTCTATTTGTCTATCTGTCTATCTGTCTATCTGTCTATCTGTCTATCTGTCAATCTGTCTATCTGCCTATCTATCTATCTGTCTATCTGTCTATCTGTCTATCTGTCTATCTGTCTATCTGTCTATCTGTCTATCTGTCTATCTATCCAGCAATATCAACCCCTACCCGAATGAATATAGGTTTAGGTATTCTCCCCTTGAGTCCTGAGGACCGGATATCCAGGTTTATATCAGGACCAGAGTAAGGACTCAACTCACTGTAACGTATAATAAAACCCTCAGTTCAATGTGGTTATGGGTTATACTTACCGTAAATAAAGACTGTAAAATTGTCTTATTTAGCGTTAAATAAAGACTGTAAAATTGTCTATACTTACCGTTAAATAAAGACTGTAAAATTGTCTATATTTAGCGTTAAATAAAGACTGTAAAATTGTCTATATTTAGCGTTAAATAAAGACTGTAAAATTGTCTATATTTAACGTTTTGATAATTATTTGAAAAGTTAGCAAAGAACTCAAACGCGCGGAAATATATTTTAAGCAATTTACGCATTTTATAAAGTTAATCTTATTCAAGCTTTTCATATATTTTTCTTAATTGTTTTAATTTAAGTTTTATCTTAATTTAATCATCTCTTAAAGGAATAAAAGTTTTCAAAACTTCAATTCTTCTTATTCAAATTTTAGATTCTCTTTTTGATTAAAATTTTAAGTTTTACCTAAGATATTGATCAATTCTTGCAATGTTGTCGCTACAAGTCCTCATGGTGAGTACAAGGATTAGAAACATCCCAGATATAATAAATGAGTTATAGATATTATTCAGGATCCAACTCAACCTAAAATCAAATGAAATGACATGAAACGACATGAAATGACATGAAATGACATGAAATGGCATGAAATGGCATGAAATGACATGAAATGACATGAAATGACATGAAATGGCATGAAATGACATGAAATGACATGAAATGACATGAAATGGCATGAAATTACATGATATCACATGAAATGACATGAAATGTCATGATGACATGAAATGACATGAAATGACATGAAATGACATGAAATGACATGAAATGACATGAAATGGCATGAAATGACATGAAATGACATGAAATGACATGATATTACAAGTAATTATTACTTTGATTTGCGAAGATCTCTTGATGTCGACATCCTCATCCTCTCTCTCTCTCTCTCTCTTCGTCTTTTTCGTCAAACTTGTTTTTTAACGTTCTTTTCCTGCTTCTTTAGTTTAGAAAGATTTTGAATTTCCGTGATTCTCCATTTTGAATTCTCAATTTTTCAGCTTTTCCTTTTTAGATTGGATTTTCTTCATGATCTTTTTCTTTATATTTTTGCTAAAATTCTGTCTTGAATGTTTTTGAAATTTAAGCCTTTCAATGTTTTGTCACAAATTTGATTTCTGTTTATTTCATGATGAAAATTATGACGATCATGACCATTTACAAAAGTATTCTGAAAATATCAACTTTATACAGCATTAAACTGCTTTTATAGAATTTTTGTTAACATTGAGTTTAAGGGAAAAGTAATAAATATTTTCGACACTCTTATTTCATACTTTATTAAAGTAACTATGTTTTTATCGCAAACTCAAATTTTCAAATCTTTTTATTTTTGCAACCTGAAAGTGTAAACCTCTGATATTTCAAACTAAGATTATTTGACCTATAAATAAATCATAGTTCGAAATATCAAAGGGTCTACTATGTTAGGTTGAAGAGATATAGAGATAAGAAAATCAGAGTTTGTGGCAAAAACAATCTGAAAATATATGTTTGAACCCCTACGCTAAACAATGTAACCTTTTCCCCACTTGAAAAGTATTATTTCATGTGTTTTCCATTTGTTCAGTTTACCCTTATAGAGAACATTACCTGGCATGGGCGGCCGTAATACATTTGAATTTCCGAGCCGGGTCAACCTTTCCGGTCCAAGTTTGTACGGTATCGCCCGGACATTGGGTAGATAAAGCAGACACTCAATAGGACTAGCCGGGGCAACAAGGTTGACACGGTCAGACTTTAGGTTGAATTTACGTTTACTAAAGGGTCAGAGGTGCGTGCTGGGAGCAATACAGTGGTCAACAATATGATACGGATTGATTATCAATTTTGACATTTTCTATGTAAGAAACATCGCTGATTATTTCGTGGTTTATAGAAATGTTCCCAAAAAAAACTGTGTTATTTTAGGTAAATTAAATTATACAGTGGTGCCAGCATAGCTTCGTAATATTAAAACGACATTTAAACAATCTTACATGGGGTTTGTCGGCGTTTTATCAAGCAAATAGTTTTACCATAAACTTATTAACTCATAAAGAGAAATGGTTGTTTTTAATCCACATCTTAATGGGTCCCACTGTTTTGTTTTAAAAAACGTATTATAGATTATATCATTTAAATTCACAATGGTAAAGAATGAATCTGAATAAAATAAAATGAAGAAGTTAAACAAATAATTAACACTGAAAATCCAAGAAAATAAAATCAATGAACGTATATGAGCGCGCGCGAAGGACATTTTCTATGAACGTAAATAATTGTGTGCACTGCATTGGATACGATATCAAACTAAGATTGAAATTTAAAAACTCAAAGCTCATCAAATTTTTATCATTAATTTGAAGTTTGTAATTCGAGGTTTTCTAGATCCGAGATAAATATTTAGCACCACGTGACTTCAAAGTTGAGTTACCCCTCCATTTTTCCTTCCTTCTTTAATCCCGTCCCCTTCCCGGTTCCCGTGAAAGATTTCCCGGATTTTTACTGTGATAAAATTAAAATTTTATTACTAATAAGTTAACACCTATTGACAAAGCACGTAAAGTGTACAATTAAATAATTACAGAGATGTTTACAGAGTGATGGAGGGGGGGGGGATAAGGAGTAGTGCCCCCTGTTAAGGCTTAGAAAACCCCCCCCCTTGATAACAATATTTACTACAGTTAAATAATAATATCTAACTTTTTACCTTTACATTCTTAAACAAAAAGATACATACATTCATTCTTACACAGTTTTTTATATTTACAATTTACTAGTTGAGTCTGATAGATGCAAATACAGGGTATCCGCCAAAGAAGGGATCACTATTTAAAACTGATAAAAACTGTACGGTCCCAAGGTTGTACTAGATCTTCTACCTTAAATACAGTTGTTTCATAGCTTATTAAATGATTTATCAAAGACAGAAACGAGTTTACAGCTGCAGGAAATCATGAATAAATTCCGTACAGTCGTCTCTGAAGTCTCATCGTTTGTGAATAACCTTGTAACTCTTCGGTAAAATATGTCTATGTTCTACTTTAATATGTCTATATTTTTCTTTAATATGTCTATATTTTACTTCATATATAAAATCTAAATTTGTAATCTGGCAAAAATACTGCATTTGTTTTTGCATATTTTTAGGTAAGAAACACGCCAATACTAATTACAAGTTCGTTCAGCGATTAAACATATTTTAGAGAAAATATTATCTCTTAGAAAAGTCCAGCTTTTCGTCCTTTGTCACTGGGAGGACTCTATATCCGTCATTTTCTTTAAGGTTTATATTATTGTATTTTATTTATGACATAAATCAGTTTTTTTACGACAAAGTCAATATATTTTATTGCTTTGCAACATCAAAATTTATTTTCTACTAGAAATCGTCCTAATTCGCATCCATTAAAAAATTCCATCTTGTCGTCACTCGTCATATACAACATTTAACCTTCAATTTCGCAACAAAATAGTCCAACAAAAATAGTCCTTTAACTCCGCAACTGATACTTATTATCTACTCGTCCTTTGATAAACTAATAGTATATTCGCCTTTAGTTTATCTACTCGTCCTTTGATAAACTAATAGTATATTTGTCCTTAGTTTATCTACTCGTTCTTTGATAAACTAATAGTATATTCGTCCTAAGTTTATCTACTCGTACTTTGATAAACTAATAGAATATTTGTCCTTAGTTTATCTACTCGTACTTTGATAAACTAATAGTATATTCGTCCTAAGTTTATCTACTCGTACTTTGATAAACTAATAGAATATTTGTCCTTAGTTTATCTACTCGTCCTTTGATAAACTAATAGTATATTCGTCCTAAGTTTATTTACTCGTTCTCTTTAGCACTGATAGTCTATTAGTCGTCTGCAGCATGCAAAACCCCGGCTACTCGTTCTTTAATTAACTTGAATTAGCAATTCGTCCTCTGCAGTGTTCCAAGTTCACCTAATCGTCCTTTAATACACTTTTATTCTATTCGTCCTCTGTGATGGTTTCCGGAATATCTGGGATTGATTTAGCACTGGATAGAGTACTTGGAGTAGGATTTACTGGGAGTTCCGGATTCTCCGAACCTTCAGATCTGAAACATGAAAATACAGTTTATCCACATGCCCTGAGAGCACACTGTTTGTTTCGAAATAAACTCATTCAAAAATAACATCCATCGAAAATGGCGTAAACATTTTTTTGTACGTTGTCCAGATAAACAAAAAGTATGAAATGAATAATGCTAGAAAGTAGTTTTGATCATAAACACCTGATTTTATTAACATACAATTGTCAACCATTAACAATAGGCTCCGTGTAAAGTCGTCTTTAACTTAGATCCCCTCTCGGAGACACCAAAACCAAACCAAACAATTTTAACCCGGGTTTCTTTGTTCTCCCTGTCGGAGTCGTAAACAACCTCGCTTTGTGAATCCATTTTCAAAAAAGTTAAACAAAGAATATTTTCATATATAGAATTAGTGACTTTCGTTAATAATTAATTGTCATTTTATTTCAGAAGTTTAAAACGTCTTTTAGCACTGTCCAACTATTGTTAACCCCTTTGTTATCAGCAATTAGATCGTAAGAATATTTTCATTATAAACATTCATTATAACATTTTGTATACGTTATCATTTATGTAATTTTTTCAGGAAATAAAGAGAATTCTTTGTTATCGATTTTTGAGACGGGGGTTATTCTGTTGTGTGTCTGCTGTTGTAATCGGGAAATATATATCCTTTAACGACTGATTCCAGTGGGCTTATTATTATTTCATCTTGAGAATCAATTGTTCCTATCCGTCAACAACAATGTTTCTTTTTATAAGTATATATCCCTTCCCCTGTGAGCCATGAATTAAAAAAATATTTAGGTTATAAGTAAAAGTGAGTTTTAAAGTAATGAAATTTGTCATTTTTAAGACTCCTATGGCATTTTTTAGTAAAAAAACAGCTGCTCCATAAAAGTTATTAAAATTCAAATCCATAATTGTGTGACCAATATGAATCGTTCAACAGGTATAACAATTAACAAACTGTTTCCTCATAAACATTTTAATATCTTTCTTTAAGGAATTTTAAATCTCCCAGTTTTTCAAAGTGAACTTTTATTGTCTGATAAATAATTCGGGAGATATTGTCGTTTTTCTAGCTTTGAAAGTGTTGAATTTGAAAATTTTCTCCATTTGTTCTTCGGTTCAGAAATGCGCCCGTTACTTTACAGAGAAACCACAGTTAAAATAATTAATTATCAAAGATATCTCATGCAAAAATAAAACTTTTAAGGATTCGGAGATGCCACTTTTTAAAATGGAGTATACTGCATGAAATTCCGTCAATATTCCCTTTAAAATGCTTTTTTTCAGGCCATTAATAAGTTTCTTAATCCTAGAAAAAAGAAGAAGTTTGATAAGCAAGGACTTATTGCGGAAATAAATGCGGTAAAAAATACAAATAATGTCAGTAAATATCTCAAGTATTCGGAATTTATATAACAGTACCCTCCCCCTCTTGTACCCCCCCCCCCAGCACTGACGGACCTAGACAGCTAGTTCGTTTATGGCATATTTACCTTGGCATAATTTAAGTATTCGTCTTAATCAAATAGATTCTAGAACAATAGACGGCAACGTATAGAATTTGTACACTCTCAGTATAAAGCTGTATTCTTACGTCACAAGTGTCACCAGTGTTATGTGTCCGACAAAATTATTAATAAAAGTGATAATAAAGTGCTTATTTTACAGTGAAATAAGTGCAATTTTGTGTTCTTAATTTTCTATTTTTACACTTTTTATCTAATCTTGGGAAACATGTCAACTAATGTGAGAAAATGTTGATTTCCTTGTTATATTTGACACTTGTGACGTCGTGTATAATTGGTCTATTTCTCTATTGCCACCTATTGTACTTGATAACCTATTTGGTCTTAATAACCAACAATTTTTTTTATTTAATTTGTAAAAATTTTAAATTTCAAAACGCAAAATATGATTTGAAAGTTCTTTTTTAAATTTTACTTAAAACTATTATGTATTATGTACAAATTAATTGTATGAGAATTAGCATTGTGAAGAGTTTTCAAAACTCATCAGATTAGGTTGACTGCAGATTCTTGAATCATAACATTTGAAAAACCTTGATTGGTTATTTTAAAGAAAGGAGGGGGTGGAATGTTTATTTAGTCTCAACTATAGGGTTTTCTTCTATTCCCCTGAACCAAGAGAAGTTTATGAAAGTTGGCAAAATATTTACATCATGAATCCAAATATTTCTTTAAATAACAAATTATATTTAGAATAGGTAGATCAGGCTATGGATAAAGGCGAGAGGTAAAACGGCGAGTGACATGGACCAGAGGTAGACCAGGCCATGATATAGATGAGAGGTAAACCAGGCCAGTGACATGGACCAGAGGTAGACCAGACCATCATATAGATGAGAGGTAAACCGGGCCAGTGACATGGATCAGAGGTAGACCAGGCCATGATATAGATGAGAGGTAAACCGGGCCAGTGACATGGACCAGAGGTAGACCAGGCCATGATATAGATGAGAGGTAAACCAGGCCAGTGACATGGACCAGAGGTAGACCAGGCCATGATATAGATGAGAGGTAAACCAGGCCAGTGACATGGACCAGAGGTAGACCAGACCATGACATATATGAGAGGTAAACCGGGCCAGTGACATGGACAAGAGGTAGACCAGGCCATGATATAGATGGAAGGTAAACTGGGTCATTGATATAGACTAGAGGTAGACAGGGTCATTGATAGACGAGAGGTAGACAGAGTTATAGATATAGTCGCATTGCTATAGATGAGTGGTAGACCATGTCAATGATATAGATGAGAGGTAAACTGGGCCATTGCTATAGATGCAAGGTAAACCATGTCATTACTTTAGACGATAGGTAGACCTGGCCATTGATATAGTCGAGAGTTAGACTGGGTCATTGATATAGACTAGAGGTAGACAGGGTCATTTATAGACGAAAGGTAGACAGGGGCATTGAATTAGACGAGAGGTAGACAGGGTCATTGATAGACGAGAGGTAGACAGGGTCGTTGATAGACGAGAGGTAGACAGGGTCATTTATAGACGAAAGGTAGACCCGGGCATTGAATTAGACGAGAGGTAGACAGGGTCATTGATAGACGAGAGGTAGACAGGGTCATTGATAGACGAGAGGTAGACAGGGTCATTTATAGACGAAAGGTAGACCCGGGCATTGAATTAGACGAGAGGTAGACAGGGTCATTAATAGACGAGAGGTAGACAGGGCCATTGTTATAGGCGAGAGGTAGACCCTGGCATTGATATATACAAGAGGTAGACTGGGTCATTGAAATAGACGAGAGGTAAAACGGCCGATTGATAAAGAGGTAGAACAGGCCATATTAAGGAAAATTTACGGATCCTTAGGATACAAAGTACAAAACCTTCAAAAATTTACTAAATTCATAAATGTTATGTTTGATGTAAAAAATTTGAGTATTTCTTTAAGAATTGAAAAACTTAACCCCTGAATGGATATTTTACACAGCAAGTGGCGGTTAGATGGCAGTCAAATATCTTTTGTAAGAATAAAGCATGTTGTGATGGTAAGACTATTGGTCTACTTAGACCAGCCCAAGGTACTAATGCAAGGAAAGTTAATTGCAGTCGCGTATACTTTGTGTACATATTAAAACCAGTTCTTTCTGGGCGGAATTTGTAAACAAGAATAGATGCATGTGTTCTTCTAGTATCCGAGAAGGAAAAAAGCATTTAATTTTGATAATTTTGATAATTCACATAATAGTTTCCTATGACCAGAATATTTCATAGTTTATTTTTGTGAAAATGGATTCGGGATTCCATGTCAAGCTCGTGACATCCGTCTTGTGTTTACTTTTCCGCCCAAGGACAGTACACTGCAGTACAAAAAATACGTACACCTCTGAAATAACTTTCATTGCGTTAGTACCTTGGACAAGCCCATGAAAGCTAATTAGCAGTCTAAATATATTTAGTCGGTGGTCTAAGACGTCTAAGACAAAAGCAGACAACTATCTATAAAAAATTGTACTTTACTCTACCTGTCATCGTCTGGTGATCCGGGCCTAGATTTAGAACCGGTTTTTCCATTAGGAGGCAACTCCTCCGTAATTGATTTAGTAGGTGAGGGTTCTCTGCTGCTTTCGTAACCATTCATCAGCTGATGCAACGTGGATTCTAACAAAAAGAATAAGAAAGAATTTTAAAGATTTAAAAGTGTCTGTGAGATTAAAGAATGTACTATTAAGGGCAACCTGTTGATATAGATCTCTCTAAATTCTTACTCCTTCCACTTGATTTCTTTCTTCTTCTGCAAAAACAGATTTTTAAACAATAAATATTTATTTTATAAAATTCTTTCGATCAAACTTAGGGTCTAGAAGTTTGCAACTCTAACCTCGCAAATTCTAAGTCAAAGAAACAATATTGAAGTGTCAGAATTTGGACGTTTTGCAAAAACTACCTGTAAAATTTGTTTTGTCCCAAAACTTGGCAAAAATGCCTTACAATTGATTATTGTTCAACAGTTTGAGGAAATAATTAGAAACTGTCTACTTGAGATTATTATGATTATGGTAGCTTTTTGATCAAAGTGACAATAGAAACTGTGATAACTTTTGTAGCAAGGGGAAGTCTTTTGGGATTTAAGCTGCAGTTACGGGGAAAATGAGATATTTAAATATTCCAGAAAAGGGACAAAATTGATAATCTAGTTTTGTATGTACTTCGGGTTCAAAGGGGAAAATGTGATTCCTAGGGTTGCCTTAACCTTGTAATGTTAAGCACAACGATAATTTTTTACCTGTGAGGTGTTGTGGGGGAATTGGGAGTAGGCTCAGTCTCATCCTGTCCTGTAGTGCTATTCTTCAATAGTTCCACACACCCAGAGATCTCATTGAATGCATAGATCTCCTTATCCACTAGCAGTTTATCATACCGTAGACTAAATTTACTCTGGGGTTGTCTGAAATAGAATAATATGGTTAGTTCTCTTAAAGCTTTCTTTAAGTGATTCCCTTCTTGTCTATATCTCTTGGTTAAGCTATATAGTTGTATACCTCCGTCACAAGACAAGCTTTAAGCTTTAAGGTCTAACCTTCTTGTCTATATCTCTTTGTTGTACTCCAACAATGGTGCGGAATTAATCCCAGAGTGCATGGCCCCATACAAATTCATAATGCCTGAAGTCGTTAGACATTTCTAAGCTATGATTTAGCTACGACTTCCTCGCCTTGCTAGCTTAGGAAATCGCAGCTAAATCACAACTAGAAAATGTTTACCGAATCAGACATCCCTCCCTGTCTATTCTTCTTTAACTTACTTGAGTTTAATTTTCTTCATAAATTTCTGGAGTTCAGATCTCTTATCTTTAACTCTCTTAGAGAAATCTTCTGTTATGTAAATATTGGATCCGGTCAGTAACTTGGATTTCCTAAACAGCCTGGTTTAAAGAAAACATGAGAGTAAACAGTGGCGTATACAATAAAAACAGAGATTTTTTAGAAATAATTGACGCTATAAAAAACTATGAACAGTGGGAGATTTTTTAGAAATAATTGACGCTATAAAAAACTATGAACAGTGGGAGATTTTTAGAAATAATTGACGCTATAAAAAACTATGAACAGTGGGAGATTTTTTAGAAATAATTGACGCTATAAAAAACTATGAACAGTGGGAGATTTTTAGAAATAATTGACGCTATAAAAAATTATGAACAGTGGGAGATTTTTTAGAAATAATTGACGCTATAAAAACTATGAACAGTGGGAGATTTTTAGAAATAATTGACGCTATAAAAAAACTATGAACAGTGGGAGATTTTCAACTTTTTAAAACTTTTTGAGTACTATCTTTTGGGTCACCCTTGATTTTTTAAATTATCATATTTTGGTAATTTTATGACTAAACACAAGTTATGTTTGATACAAACCTTAGGATTTCTTGCTTGTCCTCATACTTCTGGAAGTAAACAGTAATTGGTTTACACCCACGTACATTTGTTCCTAAATCCAGAAAATATGAAACAAAATATCTTGATTAATTTGTTTGTAAAAGATCTATAATATGTAAACCAATAAAAATCATTCTTTTTGTTAAAGGGACAGTAAAGGAAAAATTAAAGGGGGTATAGGTTGAAAACTAATCACTTTAGCTCTTGATCGCTACCCATGAAAGTTTTATCTGATGTTCCTGTCTCGAGAATTTGATATAAAACTGTGTTAAAATTATACGAAAATTAATATATGTAAAATTTTGAAAATCTGAAACTTAAATCACGTGACCAGAACTATCACCAATGGCAGAGCAGTATACTGGTCACGTGTCTCCGCCTGTATCACGTGACCACTTTACTGCACTGCCATTGGTGGAATTTCTGGTCAAGTAATACGGACGTAAAAATAATATTATGAATGAAATCTATTAAAAATAGAAACAACAAATATAAAAGTAAACCTAATTTACAATTAGCTTTCTCTGGGATATCATCGTTTTCAGATTGGTTGCTTATTTCCTGAATATGATCTGCTTAAACCTACTACTTTTATACAAAATTGTATATATATTAATTTTCGAAATAAATTTGACACAATTTTATATCAGTTTCTCGAGACATGAACATCAGATATGACTTTCATGGGTCGCGATCAAGAGCTAAAGTGATTAGTTTTCAACCTATACCCCCTTTAATTTTTCCTTTACTGTCCCTTTAAATATTGAAAATTATGTTGAAGAATCGTGCTTACATGGCGAAACACAAAAATCTTACTTCGGCAGCTTTTGCCAAATTAAAAAAAAAAATTTTATTGCCTTATCTTCTGCAAGAGTATAAATTGGCATAATTTAACTACGCATAGAGCACATTTTGAAATATTATAAACATCTCAGAAAGTTTTCTGGAGCCTCTGATAATCCCAAAAATTGCTAAAGAGTATTCTTGTTTAAAGGAAAAATGAAAGGGTGTATAGGCTGAACCTAAGAGGAGTTGATCGAGACCCATTAGAGATCTGATGTTCCTGTCTCGAAAGATTTATAACAAACAGTGTCAAATTTATACAAAAATCTATATATATAAAATTTGTATAAAAATAGTAGGTTTAAATAGATTATATTCAGCAAAAACGCAACCAATCTGTAAAAAACGATATCCAAGAGGAGCCTAAGGAACTTTGCTTTATTTATCGTCGTTTTCAGATTGGTTGCGTATTTGCTGAATACAATCGTTTTAAACCTACCATTTTACACAAAATTTTATATATATAGATTTTCGTATAAAGGAATTGATTCTCTGACACAAACTCAGATTTTCTAAACTCTTTATCTAGCTTTGCAATCTTATGTGAAAACCTTTGATATTTCAAATTTAGATTATTTCATCTAACAGAATTAATAGTTTGAAATATCTAAAGTCGACGACATTGGGTCGCAAAGATATAGGAATAAGAAAATCAGAGTTTGTGGCAAAGACTCAATTCCTTTGACACAGTTTTATATCAAATTCTCGAGACAGGAACATCAGATAGAACTCTTATCAGTATCGGTCAACCCCCTTTCATTTTTCCTTTACAATTCCTTTAAGGTTCTAACCTGTATATGCACGTTTTACCCTGATAATCTGAACTTCTCTATAGAGGATAATATATTTAACATAGAGGTATTCTATACAAACTTGAAACAAATCAATTTCTAAAAATTAATAAAAAAGTTTCTTGTTGGCAGAAGTTGGAAAAAAGAAATGGAATTAGCCCTATTTTATACATTATCATAAATTTTTTATTTGATTCATTAAAAGAAATATTAAATTGAAAACGTGAATTAAAAAATCTTTTTTTTCAAAAAGATAGCCTCAGGGGATAATCCTAATTTTACTCAACCGATATGTTTCAGTAAACAACTTATTGAATAAAAACTTTATTATTGTTTTTTGTTATTGTTCCTTGTTTTATAATTGACAAAGTTTTTATCAAGCAAAAGTTGGACCACTTCTAAACTTTACAAAATATAAATTGCGTGGAATCTAATTTGATAAGTAAATTCTATCCTCTCCTTGTAATTCCTAATCTTGTTCTTATAAGTTCTCTGATCTTGGTTTCAACCATTGAGCTGGGTTCAACCTTATCCTGGTCCTCCTTAACTCCGTAGAAAACCAGGTTGTTCTCCCAGGATCTATCCATCTCCCACAACTTGTCCTACATGAGAAACAAATTCAGGTTATTTTCAAAATATCTAGATTTCTCCCATTCTCTAAATACTACTGAAGTTCTAGGATTGTATCCTTCCTCAACCTTCTCTAAATACTGCTGAAGTCCTAGGATTATATCCTATCTCAACCTACTCTAAATACTACTGAAGTCCTAGGATTGTATCCTTCCTCAACCTTCTCTAAATACTGCTGAAGTCCTAGGATTATATCCTATCTCAACCTACTCTAAATACTACTGAAGTCCTAGGATTGTATCCTTCCTCAACCT